TTTTTTTGGTTTTTCGAGACAGGGTTTCGCTGTGTAGCTTTGCGCCTTTTCCTGGAACTCACTTGGTAGTCCTGGCTGGCCTCGAACTCACAGAGATCCGCCTGCCTCTGCCTCCCGAGTGCTGGGATTATAGGCGTGCGCCACCACCGCCCGGCCCGGTGCAATTCTAAAAGCAGCGGTGGACAGACCATGGCTAGAGCTCTCATGTAAGCAATGGCAGTTCTGCACAGAATCCCCATGACAGCGCATACCTCAACCCAGAGGGAGGAGGGCCCTGGTGTAGAATATTAGTTAAAGATGTGTTACATTCGTTTATGCTGTGGAACATTTGCTTAATGATGCAGAGATGTGTTGCGTTCTTTTATGTTGCATTTGTTTGACTCTGTGAAGCTCTGTTACCGTGCCTGTCTAAAACATCTGATTGGTCTGAGAAAGAGCTGAACAGCCAATAGTGAGGCAGGAGAAAGGATAGGTGGGGCTGGCAGGCAGAGAGAATAAATAGGAGAAAAAGAAATCAAGGAACGAGAAAAGGAGAGGAGGACTCCAGGGACCAGCCAGACAGGGAATAAGAAGGAAAGATAATATATACAGAAATAGAGAACAGTAAAAGAGACAAAAGGTAGATGGGATAATTTAAGAAAAGCTGGCTAGAAATAAGCCAAGCTAAGGCCAGGCATTTATAAGTAATAATAAGCTTCCGTGTGTGATTAATTTGGGAGCTGGGTGGCGGGCCCCCCAAAGAGCAAAGAGTTAAAAGCACCCAACAACAGGACCCCACGCTGAAGCAGAGTCCCCCCTCCCCCTCCCAGTTCTATGCCATCCCATTCCACCCTTCTCCACTCTATCCCACATCTCATCCTCTCCACCCCAACCCCCTCACAGGACAAGGAACCCGGGCAGCATTTGGGATACGTGCCTGAGCCCCGGCTTCAGATGCCCAGATCTACAGTGTGAGGTCCCTGATGCTACTGACCCACCCCTACTGTTCTCCACACGATGTCAATGCTGGACCAGGCCGGCCCTCAAGGCGGCCTCGATAACTCCCAAAAGGCTGAGAATGGACTCTGGTGACAGAGAAGTATGACTCCAGCTCAAGAGTGCCTGCTTGGGGTCACACAGGGCGGGGGTTCTAACTATCTTTAACCAGTGCGTCGCCCAGGGCTACCACCCTGTCATCAACAGGTTCCAAGTTCCTGCAAGTTCACCGTTTTGGGTTGATGTGAAGCGAGTTTGTTTGGGGAATAGAGGAAGCGGTTAAATGTGCTTCAGGAGCGAGCCACTACACTTCTCACGTGGACACCTTTACAGGCCAGGGAAGAATGTATTCCCTGGAGACTATGTGGCCTGAGTGAGGTGTACTCAAGGACGTGGGTGCTTTTTCCAGAGAAGACAGATTAGGACAGGGGAGGTGGAGGGGTGTGACCTCCAGTGCTCCATGAACCACTTGTGCCCTGGGAAGGTGTGCCGGACCCCAGTCCTGGGTCCTTCTCTTGGCTCTTTGCTTAGACATGGCCAGCTACAGGACCTCACGGGGGTCCCCAAAGGCTTTCTCAGTTAGGCAGGTTGAGCTCCTAACATGGTAGAACTTCAGAGCTCGTGGAATGGACCCTATGGGCAATAGCCTGGGGTGGAGTCCTGCTTTGCTCAAACCACACTCAAGGCCTCAGTTTCCCTGTGTGTAAAATGGGGACAACAGGACTGTGGAGCAGAGACAGGGCCCTTGCCTAGCATGCGGGAGGCCCTGGGTTCTATCCCAGCACCACAGGGAAGCAAAGAGATAAAAAGGCAAAGGAGGCGCTTCCTTCCCGCCAAATGGTGGCACAGGCCTGTAATCTGAGCTTGGGAGGCAGAGGCAGGTGGATCTCTGTGAGTTCGAGGCCAGCCTGGTCTACAGAGCAAGATCCAGGACAGGCACCAAAATGACACAGAGAAACCATGTCTCAAAACAAACAAACAAACAAAAACAGAAGAAAACAAAAAGGAGAAAGGAAGAAAAAGAGGAATTGGAGGTTACAGCACATGAAGATGGCATGACACATACAAAGCACTCATACTAGCATGGTAAAAGCACCCCACAAATGGTGGCGGGTGTAATGAGTATGTGGGGTGATCTAATAAGTCTCCTTGTAATACATATTCCTTCTACCCATCCTGATCACCGAGAGAGCCCCTAGACCTTGAACTGGAGTTGTAGGACATCTTCAGGGAACCTGTTTCCCGACTGGAGGTGTAAGCCTAAAACTATGGTTAGTCCTGAGCCCCATAGATACTGGATGGTTGGATTGTTTTCCTACATGTATATACCTGTGATAAAGTCTATCTTATAAATTCAGTAAATGCTACCCACACATTAGTTATTTAGTGCTGCTCCCGGTTACCACATCGGCCGTTATGTTACCATGCTGCTCAAGTAACCCTTACAACAATGGCCCCAAAGCAGGAGGGTAGAGATGCTGGAAATTTTATTACAGTACCTTGTTACAGTGAGTCTATTTATTTAGAATTACTTATTCTATTATTATTATCATCACTATTATTTATTGTTAATCTCCTTTGTTGTTGTTTTGTTTTCGAGACAGGGTTTCTCTCTGTAGCCTTGGCTGTCCTAGAACTCGCTCTGTAGACCAGGCTGGCCTCAAACTCACAGAGCACTCCCGAGTGCTGGGATTAAAGGTGTGCGCCACCACCGTCTGGCCTGTTACTGTGAATCTCTGAGCATGGCTAATTTATAAGATAGACTTTATCACAGGTATATACACTGTACAAAAGGATGCTTTGTGTCCCAGACGGGATTTCACAAGATTCCATCACATTCCTCTGGGCAGCCAACAACCTAAAACATGAACTATGTCTAGAATTTTTAACTCAATATTTTCAGACGTGATTGACAGAAGGCAAAGCCACAAAGACGGGGAGGCTACTGACCTGACCAGACATTTGCCTACCCACTGGACTGACTGGGAGTTTCTGGAAGATACAAGTAGCTCTTCCCAAACACAACTATGCCCCTTCTTGTTTGCAGAGACAAGCTTTACACATGGGGTGTGCACAGCGGATCCGGATGGAGCAGGTTAATGTACCCCGAGAACGTAGCAAAGAAGACAGCGACTCAGCTGCAGGCTGCGGCTGGCAGGGCTGCATCCAAGAGGAGACCCAGCTTGACTCTCCGTGCACGTGGTGACTGCTGGCACGTTTTAAAGTGCATCCATTTACAGGAACATTCTGGACCCAGTAAAAGCATGGCACATAGAGGAAGGATTGGCAAGTCAAGTCCCTGCTAGCTGATACTTAAGTGTAATAATCCAGCCTCTGTCCCGCTACCTAGCAAAGCCCACAAGTGGTGCCACAGGCTTTCCAGAAACCAGTGAGTGTAACTGTGTGCCAATAAAACTTTATTTGTGCATGCTGGCCTTTTAATTTCACATAGTCTTCACTTCAATGGTGTTCTCTTGTTGTTTTCAACGGCTTGAACACATAAGAACCATTGCTCTCAGGCCAGATAAACACAGATAAACTCATAAATTGCTAAGCCCACTTGAAGAAAAGACTAAAAGTGAGTTACAATACAATAAATTCTGTATGGTTCCATTTTATAAATTAAACATGTGCACAGACTTGTCTACTACCTACTGTTGATCGTGATGGAATTATATCTTTAATCCTCTTTTGGTTTATCCATAATTTACTAAGTCTGTACATTTGTTTGGGCTTTATGTGTGTTGGATTTCCTTATATAGCCCCAACTGGCCTCAAACTCCATCCTCCTGCCTCAGCAGTGCCAAGATTACAAATGTGTGCTACACTCCGGGCTACAGGGCTGGATTCTCAGCAACGAACACAGCATCCCTTTGGTGACTGTTTTAACGTACAATAAAATGAAGGGAGAAAGGACATTAACAGTCGAGGAGGTGGGGCTAGAAGCTGTGCCTAATCAGAAAGCTCAGAAAATGACCTTAAATACAAAGCCTGCTCAGGGTGCCTTCAGCTTCAAACAGTGTTACCTCCCACAAATGTCACTTCCTCAAGGCCAAAGGGACGAAGGCGCGTGGGGGCGCGGGGGAGGGGGGGACGGGACGGGGGGAGCGACCCAGGGATCAATCTTGAGGCACTTTTGTGCTGGGCAGCGTTCTCCAAACAACATCACTGAGTGCCCACCTAGCACACTAGTTTGCCAGGCGGGCTCCATCCTTTAGCGGCCCCAGCTAAACTCTCATTTCTTTGGGCGGAAGGAGGGGGAAGCCAGGTTGCTCCGGGGCAGACAGCGGACCTGGCCTGGGAGGGGCGCACGAGTTTGCAAAAGCAGTTATTAAAATCGCGGGCTTACTTACTTTCCTGTGCGCTCAGGGAAACAGACCTTGCATTTGGCAGGGCTCATGGTGCCCGGCCCACCGGCCAATCCTAGCCGGCTCCCACGAGGATACGCAGTTGGCAACCCCTAATCCCTGGGAGCAAGCCCTGCTCCTAGGGCACAGCAGGGTCGCCAGGTCGCCACCGGAGGCCGAAGCGTCCTCCCGGAGGGTCTCCGGCCGCAGCCCGCGACTGCTGGAACAAGCGGGACAGTGCGCCTCGCGGGCCATCCCGAACTGCTCCCTACTCCTGGAAGCCCGGGCAAAGCCCCGCCTGGCCACGCCCTGCCAGGGTCACACGCCTCCCGTTTGGCTCCGCCCATGCCCTGGCGCCAGGACACGCCCCTGACCCTCCCAGGCCACGCCCCCGAGGGCCTCGCCTCCATTCCGCTCCCAGCCCGCGCCCAGGCCACGCCCCCGAGGGCCTCCCTTCCGTTCCGCTCCCGGCCACGCCCAGGCCACGCCCCCGACGGCCTCGCCTCCATCCAGCTCCCGGCCACGCCCAGGCCACGCCCCCAGCGGCCTGCCCCGCCCAGGCCACGCCTCCCCTTTCCCCAGGCCGTCCCTGCTCCTACCCCTGACCTTGAGCTCCTCGGGAGAGCTCAGGATGTCTGTCCTCTCCCTCCCCTGCGCCCCCAGAGAGGTGGCGGCCGAGGTTTCACCTCCCTCTACGCTGCAGCCTATAGACTGGACATGCACGGTAGGGATCCGATGAAAATCCTGACACTGAAGAGGGCGGTCGCTCCTGTGCCCGTTACAGCCCTGCTAACCCCGCCCCTGCGAGCTTCCAACATTCACTTTGAAGATTGTTTTAAAGTTGTATTTATTGATGTGTGGGCGGGGAGTGGACCTCCCTCAGCAAGTGTGGAGATCAGGAGACGATCTGTGTGAGTCGCCTTCCACCACGTGGGTCCTAGGGACTGAACTCGGGTTACCAGGCTTGGCGGCAAGCGTTTTTTACCCTCGGAGCCATCTCACGGCCACCGGGGACCCTCTTAAGCATCCACAGAACCGGGGGAAGCCCCGGAGCTCCCCGTCTCATCCCCACCACACTTTGGCTTCACAGATGAGGAAAGCGTGGGCCCGAGAAGGGAAGCACAGCGTAACAACCCAGCAATGAACTTGGGCGGGGGGGGGGGGGGGTTGCTGAGGGCGGAGCTTAGTAGTAACACCTGTTGGCTCTTGTGTCCTGGGCTCTGTGCCCAGGGTCTCCCTCTAGGGGACCACCAGGCACCCCGCCGCCATGTGAACCGCCCTGTGAAGGGACCCTTGCCCCAGTTATACAGAGTCAGAGGTTCAATGTGCCCTGAATTAAGACTGCTGAAGAATAAAATTTTGGTTTTTCGAGACAGAGTTTCTCTGTGTAGCTTTGCGCCTTTCCTGGAACTCATTTGGTAACCCATGCTGGCCTTGAACTCACAGAGATCCGCCTGCCTCTGCCTCCTGAGTGCTGGGATTAAAGGCGTGCGCCACCACTGCCCGGCAAGCAAAATTCTTAATTTAGATTTTCTAGAAGCCCCCCTCCTTTGGTTTTAACTTCATCTCAAAAAAGAAAAAGAGGAGGAGGAGGAGGGAGAAAGAAGGGGGAGGGGCTGGAGAGATGGCTCAGAGGTTAAGAGCACTGACTGCTCTTCCAGAGGTCCTGAGTTCAATTCCCAGCGCCCACATGGTGGCTCACAACCATCCGTAATGAGATCTGGCGCCCTCTTCTGGTGTGCAAGCATACATGCAGACAGAGCACTATACATAATAAATAAATCTGGAAGGAAGGAAGGAAGGAAGGAAGGAAGGAAGGAAGGAAGGAAGGAAGGAAGGGAGGGAGGAAGGGAGGAAGGAAAGCAGCCCACATTGGGTTGATTTGTTTTTCTTTTTGTAAGTTTCAAACCAGTACCCAGAAGTCCCCATCCCCTCTCATTGACCCAATTTAAAGGAACAAAGACACCCGAACAGCCTCCCTGCCGGCTCTGCCGCTTCCTGACAGCCAGCTAGGTTTTTAACGCCTCCTTCAGTGTTCTGTGGCTATTCTAACATCCCGGAACCTGAGACCTGGGGACAGCAGTTCACACAGCCAGAAGACGGTGAGGATATCGGCAGCAAGCTTAACATGGATTTGTCTGAATTCTTTTTTTTGTTGTTGTTTTTTGAGACAGGGTTTCTCTGTGTAGCTTTGCACCTTTCCTGGAACTCACTTGGTAGCCCAGGCTGGCCTCGAACTCACAGAGATCCGCCTGGCTCTGCCTCCCGAGTGCTGGGATTAAAGGCGTGCGCCACCACCGCCCGGCTCCTGAATTCTTTTTTTGACAGAAGAGAGCAAGTCTTGGTACAGCAGAGGGATTTGATCTCAGCACGGGGACGAGGGACACACTGACACATGGACTCTCGGTATGGCTAGTAGAAGTGGACTTTAGAGCTGTGGTCCTCTTCCCCAGCCCCGTAACTCTGACCTAACGTGGAGAAGTAACCAGAGGCATCGCACCCCAGCTGATCCCCGGGGCTGTACTTCTCCAGACCAACAATGTCATCAGAACCATGCAGGTCTGGGAAACCATCGGGGTCAAGTTCTATTTTGGTTTTTCTTTCTGCTGCCCAGGTTGGCTTCAAACCCTTGGGTTTGGGCCATCCTCCGACCTCAGCCATCCTAGGAGGCCAGATTACAGGCAGCACCATCACACCCTGGCTGGTTTTCCTCGGCCCGTGTAAGACGGGAAAGAAGGAGCACTACACACCCTGGCGTACTGCTCGGCCACACACAAACCAACGGTTGTGCCTTTCTTTTTTTCTTTTCTTTCCCTTTTTTCTTCTAGCTTTTTTTTCTAAGACAGGGTCTCAGCCAGGCGGTGGTGGCGCACGCCTTTAATCCCAGCACTCGGGAGGCAGAGCCAGGTGGATCTCTGTGAGTTCGAGGCCAGCCTGGTCTACAGAGCGAGTTCCAGGACAGGCTCCAAAACTACAGAGAAACCCTGTCTCAAAATAAAAAGAGAGTCTCGTGTAGCTGAGGCTAGCCTTGAACTCCTAACCTTCTTGCCTCACCTCCCATGAGCCGCTCCGCTCCCCCAACAGCTGTGCTTTTGAAGGAACTAGCTCAGATGGGACTGTGGCCCCACCTCATTTTTCAGCCCTTCTCTTGGGCTATCAGCAGCTAAATTTAACTTTTGGGTATTGCAGAGGGAAAATCTTGGTCAGCGACAAGACACATGCACATTGACTGATGGCAAGAGGCTCTCTGTGGCCTGGGACACTGTGTGCTGACAAACTTGGCCGTCCTTACCCCTCCAATGTGACCTTGATCGAGTCTCTTCTCTGCACTTTCTGATCTAAAAAACCATCGAATAATTTGCTTTCACTAAAGGAAAACTAAGGTGTGATGCTCTAGCTCAGATGTGAGTGTTTGCCCAGCACACGTGAAGCCCAGGCTGGATCCCCAGGACTGTGTAAACAGTGTATGGAGGCACGGGCCTACGATCCCCACCCCTGGGGGAGGGGGAGGTTGACCAGGTGGTCAAGGTCAAGGTCACCCTTGAACAGCCCAAGTTCAGTCCTCAGGACTCACAAGGTAGAGGGAAAACTGACTCCAGAAAGTTGTTCTCTGACCTCCACACACACTCTGTGCACACACACACACAACACAACCACACACATACTGCACATACAATACAACCATACATGCATACTACATATACAACCACACGAACACTACATACCTGACCACACACTAACACACATACCACACACACTAAAACATACACACCACATACACAACCACACATATACCACACACACACACACACACACAAAGTACAGCCATAAAAACCAAACACTCGCTGTGCCTACCGTCTGCTGAGGACTTGTTCTAGCATGTGACACACGGCACACAGTCCTGTCTTTGAAACTCGAAGGGCCCAGTGTGCTTTGGGATTTGGAATGTGTTTTTTGGAAAGGCTAAGTTGTGCCCTCCACGCTATCACACTGGTATTTCAGCAACAGGAAGGGCAGGCCTGCAGGGAAGACAGCTCACCACTGATGGAGAAAGTTTCCCTTCATAGCTTCCTACTCAGCACTGCAACGTCA